ACTCCTTTACGCATCTTGACTGCGGGGATCCACGGGCCAAGCGCGAAACATTGCTCTGCATTACGCTGTCTCCGCCAATCGCAGCGCCTCATAGTCGCGCCATCGCCACCACAGCGGCACATTTTTTCCTCGTGTTTTCTCAGACAAATACGACGGCCCGCCCGCCAGCCGCCATCGTGAAGCACGTACGCCCTACTACGCGGACCTGCGCGGCGACAGCGCGGCCCCGCGAGGGAAACGCTGCCGGCTCCCGGCTTCCCCGGGAATGCGGGGAAAAAGGCCCCGACACCACGCCACGGCGGCGGTCTCCCGTTGGGCTCTTCGCTTTGTACTAGAGGCCTCCTGATGGTGTGTCGCCCGGTCCGCCCACACGACCGTGGGCGGCGCGGAGGTGACTGGCGGTGTCTCCCCTGCCCTAAAGGCCCGGCAATCGACCGTGATACGCGCAACGCCGGCGCCCACGTGTGTTTTTCGCCGCGGCCTCCGCGTCAGGCGCGCCGCTCCTGCGGGAACGTCGCTGGCGTTGCGGGGCGCGCTCCAGTATGCGTTGGTGGCGCGTCGATGACCACATCAAGGTGCCGTACGGGCCGGGATCAGGAGCGCCGCACGGCAGAATGGTTGCTTCTTGTCCCTTTGAAGAATTGTGCCCGCGTCCTTCGGCACTCAACCCTGGCGCCGCGATGGGGCGGCCAACTGTTAGGCCCTCGTGGCGCAACGGGCGTGGGAGAACAAGTCTCGGCAAACTGCCGACCGCCGCTTCCCAACCGAAAAGGCATTAAAGGGGGTAACTTAGCATTTGGCCTATTCATCGTCTCTTTTTGTGTTTGTGTGTTGTTGTTCTCCTGTGGCACCCCTGCGAATAAAGACGAGATGAAAGGGAAGGAACACTCACACACACAGACACACAGGGGGAGAGAGAGAGACCGCAAAGGCCAACATGCGCGGAAGCAGTTTTTTTTTTTTTTTTTTTTTTTGGGCGAGCGGCGTCTTCATCTTCCATTTCTTTTTTTGTGCCCAATTGCGGTTTTGGACTCGGCTCCGCCCCCACAAGTAAAATAACAGTAAAACGCCGCAAAAACTACAAAAAAAAAATGACCGACAAGAAGCAAAAACAAACATGCAAAAAAAAAAAAGAGCCTCACCCTCCACCTCCCCCAAATAATAATACTAAAAAAAAAAAAGGGTTTTGATCAGAGGCCTTGGGGCTTCGCCCTTTGCGTATGTTGATTGGACACAGGCCGAAGTAGCACACATGGCAGCCGCACGCTCGCATTCACACACACTCACTCTCTCTTCCAGCCATCCATGCCCACTGAAGAGAGAAAAAAAAAGAAAAAAAAAGTGAGAAGAGGGAAAAAGGAACAGCCCCAGAAACAAGACACACCACCTTCTACACTTCCTTGACTTTTCAGGCCCCGTAAAACAACAAAAAAAGAAAGGAGAAAAAGAAAAAGAAAAACTGTCAGTTGTTGTTGCTTTCTGTAGTTTGCGTTACTCCTTCACAACCTTCCCTTTTTTTGTCGTTAATATATATATGTTTTTTTCGTTTTTTGCTTTTTTTTTTTTTGGAAGCAAAATCAAAAGTAAAAAAGAAAACAAAAAGAACGACTACGACAAAAAAATAGAGGACTGCAAGAGATTAATTTATGAGGATGGCCCTGCGTATCTTTGCGGACGTAGAGACTGCGTCGAAGTGTGCGGTCTTGTTTCCAAAGAATGTATCCGCCTGTCAAGTGGTAGCGGAGGAGGCAAAGCTCAGAGCGATGGAGAAATTGAATGCAATCTACTCCTTTGAAGGAAATCGTACATTCGACAACACTGCTGTGGCTGCTGATATTGCGGCCGCAGAGTTTGATGTTTCTTTAAGTCTGCTTTCCGTGATTATGAGTGTTTCGACGGTTAAAGAGATACGCGAAGAGGCCAACAAACAAATTGTTGAACTTAAGTCGTTTGAAATCGATAACTTTCAATCCAATAAGCGTCTTTTTGAGGCTTTGAAGGAAGTTTCCCAGAGCTCTCAATATAAGGAGAAATACTTGGAGGGTAACAAAGATAAAGAGTATTCTTATTGGCTTGATGAAGAACTAAGAAATTTCAGACGAAAAGGAATGGAGTTGCCCGACAACAAATTTCAGGAAGTTGTGGCATTAGAAAAAGAACTATCTGCCTTATGTACCACGTTTTCTAGGAATATTAGCGAGGATCAGAGTGAGATTTTGGCTTCAGCGGAAGAACTAAAGGGGGTACCAGTATCCATCATTGACGGACTCAAAAAGGCAGATGATGGTCGATTTATATTGAAAATGGATTACCCAACCTTTTTTGGCGTGATGAAAAACTGTGAAGTGGCAGCTACCCGTCAATCTATGGCTCGGGCCGCAAGTAACAAAGCATATCCCGTTAACGAGCGGGTTCTGAAAGAAATCATTGCCAAAAGACAGGCCCTAGCAGAGCTTCTTGGCTTTTCGTCTTACAGTCATCTTAATTTAAGTGATAAGATGGCAAAATCTCCTGATGTTGCAAAGGCATTTGTCGATGAACTTATTCCTCGTCTTCAGCAGAAATGGAAGCATGAATTGGAGTTGATAAAAAAAAACTTACATGAAAGCTGCATTTTAACAGAGGATGGACGTTTACGAGAATTTGATGTGGCATTTATGATGAATCAAATCAAAAAGATTCATCTTAACGTCAGCGAGACCGAAATCCAAGAATATTTTCCCCTTGATGTTACTGTCAAGGGGCTTTTTGATATTTATCAGGCCTTTTTTGACATTACTTTTACACGCATTGACAATGGTTTTGAGCTTTGGCATGAAAGCGCCTTTACTCTTCAGGTTAAGGATAACGCAACTGGAAAGACGTTGGGACACGTGATTATGGATCTTTTTCCGCGTGAGGGAAAATATTCGCATGCCTGCTGTCACTCAGTTGTCCCTCCCGTCCTTTTGCATGGGTCTGAAGACGAATTTTCGCCAGCCTTAGGCGTTGTAATTGCGAATTTCCCGGCGCCTTTAAAGGATTGCCCTTCTCTGTTTCTTCACGATGACGTGACGACATTTTTCCACGAATTTGGTCACGCCATTCATGGACTCATGGGGCGTAGTCGAATGGCTACTTTTGCTGGAACAAATGTTAAATGGGACTTTGTTGAATTACCCTCTCAGATGTTAGAGGAATGGGTTTGGGAGCCTGAAATTCTTCAAAAAATAACATCTCATTACAAAACGCATGAATGTTTACCCAGTAACCTTGTGGAGGCAAAAGTTAAGTCCCGAAATGCATTTATTGGTCGGGATTCTTTAAGACAGTTGGAATTTGCCACCTACTCCCTCGAAGTTTTTTCTGCCCCATTTGCAGGCGGAAAGGATCCCAATAAATTGGATACCGCGGAACTAATGAGGAGTATTCGTTCAAGAATCAGTCCTGACATTAAATGTGAGGATGACACACACTTTGAATGTGGTTTTGGACACCTTACTGGTTATGGTGCGGGGTACTATGGTTATATGTGGTCCAAGGTTTTTGCCCTTGATGTGTACGAATATATCAAGAGTCGTAACGGCCTTTTGGATCCTGTTCTTGGGAACCACTACGTTTCTAACATTATTGGCATTGGGGGCGGCCAAGATCCCACTGCGATGCTGAAAAAGTTTTTAGGCAGAGAGCCTAACAGCGATGCTTTCTTGAAAACTATTGGTGTCTAGCATTTAGCTTTTAATAATGGAAAAAAACGAAAGTAATATATAGGGAAATTACTTTAAGCCTTTTTAAGAATTATTCTGCCACGAAGAGAATGAGGCAGGGTAGGCGGATTGACCTTTTACTTGCTGGGGAAAGATTATAATCGTTATCATGGGAGTTTTTGGACTGAATTTTTACGAGGAAAGGCGTCTACCTAAATTAATATATATATTCTGGCAAGAAGAAGATATTTAAGATTTTTTTAATCTTATGAATATGAGCTTGCGAAGAGAATGATCGCGGGAGAGCTGGCTAACTTAATGGATAAATACCTTGATAAAACGAATATACTTCTTTACAACGCTTTTCTACCGTATGATTTTTTGGGAAAAACACGACTTTGTAGGGGCAGGGAACCGATAGAGGCCAGATAAGATTTGTTTTTATTTTGCCATCCCATTCACCCCCTTGATTCCCACCACGCGGCGGGGTCTTGTGGTTGGAGGACCCCAAAGTCTGCCACTTCTTAATTAATAATATATATATATATATATATCTCCAGCTCGAATAGAGTGCGCCATGTCGCGATATTGTCCATCATACCATGCATGTTTTGGGAGCAAATATCGAGGAAGTGACGAACTGACTACCTTTCCATTCACCTTTTTCAATTCTCTTCTTGTTTTATTTGTATAGATAGTTTGAGGATCCGTCCAGCAGCTGGGGCAAATATTTTTAGATTTTTTTTTACCCATTTTTCACTCACATTACTCGCGCTATAACGTTTTTCTTAATTTCTATTCCATGTTTTGTTGGTTTTAGTCTCTCTCATTCCGTCTGTTTCTTTATATATATCTAAACGGGGAGGAGATTTTGATACCAATGGATTGGTCTTCATCGTCTTCTGATGAGGAGCTCCGAACAGCTCTGCGGCACAACGCCAGAAATATGCAGGCTGAGGGACGGGCTGTACCAACTTCCGGACCTCCAATTACTTTTTACAATGGCGAAGCTGTGAAGGTACAATACGGCACTATCTATTGTCCCTTTAGAAGAAAGTACTTCCACATACATCCGGTAAAAAGAAATCCGGCGGAGTTTTTTGGTGATGTAAACGTGAGGCGGAATAAACGTCGTTGTTTGTCTCCCTCGTCTGTTCAACTGCTGGATGCGTCTTTTTTTGACGAAACACCTCCTGAATTCAAAGAAATTACACTGAAGGAAATCAATGATAATGGGTTTTATCTTTTCAACGGTATTAGGAAATCCTCCTCTTCTTCGCTTACGACGTTGTATCCACCACTTTTGCAGGATTTCAGGTATTCTCGCGTTGTATTGAAAAATCGGTTCAAAGAATACTTGTTGTCGCCAGTTTGTTTGCGTAGCGAAAAAGATGGCTGGAAACGAACTACATACCAACTACCCCCAAAGGGAATAGTTTCAAGCCTTTTTGACGGCCGTTTTGCTTTCTGTGGCATGGATTCTCAGTCGGAGCTGTTTATTGTGGAAAATCATAGGCTATTGCCTCACTCTATTAAGATTCCGGGTGGCACTGATGATATAATTGGAATGCACTGTGTTGGTCGTAATGCCATGTTCATTGTAAGGAAAAACCGGCTCCAACATCTCTCTTGGGATTCTGATACTCCGTCAAATACTGCGGTTTGGGATTTTTCTCCTGAGGTCAATGCAAGTTTTTCTTGTTCATGCACCAATGCATTTTCAGAGAATCAAAGTGCTTATTGTGTTATTCTTGCCTGTGGGAGGAGCTTGTTTACTGCCGCCATGCATGAGAACACGATTCATAAGCCTCAAAAAATGTGCACTTTTCGTACAACACCGATTTTATCGGTTGACACTTTTTCTCTAGGACCTCTCGCTAACCAGGTGGTAGTGTGTGGAATGAGGAATGGCACCATTCAAGCGCAATCGTTGCAGGATATGCGAACTCATCGTTCCTTTAATTCTGGTATTCAACTCAAAGCAGCGTGCATACCTTACGTTCATTGTGTGGAAAACAGTTTTAATTTTGTTTCAGTCTCTATTATTGGTGAGATAAAATTGTGGGATATAAGGTATATGAATAAAAAAGAAGCAGTCTTTGAAATGGTGATGGACACAGCTGGTGGCCGCTTTCACGATATACAGGCTGCTTTTGTTGATGACATTGCTTGCTTTACGAATTCTACCGGTTGCATTTCTTGCATTAACACGAGAAGGTGGCTTGGTCTTGGTCAGTATCAAAGAGCTGGGGGAAACGAGGGCCGAATCCATTTAGTGCGAGGTACATTTGGATATCAAATACTCGATGCTGGTATTTGCAATACAATGGCCTATTTATTGCATGTTGTCTACTCATATAGCCGTTTTTTACATATTTTTTTTCTTTTGTTATTAGAACTTATTTTTCAAGATGTGAGAGCTTTTTGCTGTCAAAAAGAGATTTCTTTCTTCATTACTTCTTTTTCTTTACTTTTTGAAGGTTTGCTCCCGGACTGGGTTCAAAAGGGTTCACCATTACTGGCATTGATTCAAAAGGTTCTTGCTGAGTGTAGCTCAAAAAAGTAAGGGAATACAAATGATTTCTTGCGTCGTCTTCAACGTTCTTTTGGGAAGGCTCCAATTCATGAGAAAGCAGATGTGAACCTTGCTGAAAGAACAAGAAGAGTGAGCAGTATTCTGAATCAATGAATAAATCAAGCGGATCATCTCTTATCTAGAGAGGGCACTGAGGATGTGGAAACCTAACTGCAGCGTGCGTTTACTTTTTTGGATGCGTAAGGGACGTATATTACTCTGCGTTGAAGTCTAATTTGGACAGTTGTAAAATAACAACGAACGCCACATTTTTTGGAGGCATCAACATTTGTATGATAGCGATATTTCGACCCTACCTATTTCGAATATTTGCGTCAGTTGTGCCACAATTTTACCCGATCTGGAGTTGTATGCCGTAACCCATCGATATGGTTGTACCATTCATATTTATACACTGCATGGTGCGAGGGTTTGTTGGCTAACCGCGAATTTGGATTCTCCGCTGTGCATTGTATTTTTTCCAGATAAAAATGAACAGCAGTGGCATCACGGGGGGTGAAGGATAATTTTATCGGGCTTTACTTTTTTTCAGATGATTAAATGTGTTGAAGATAACGCTGCCGTGACAGCTGCAGCTTTTTCCTTTAATGCCAACTTATTACACGCTGGCTCTTAGGACAAAAATGTTTGCAGGATTGCTGGCCTAAATGGGAAATTTCGGGCCGTATTGGGGGAGTTACTAGATGGGCGAGTCGGGGTTATCTTTAGCTAAACAACATAATGCGAATGACTGAGTCATCCTTTCACTGAGTTGTGACCATGGTGCATGTGTGGCAGACGCTCTATAATCCCTGTACATTGAAGCCGTTGAGGGGAAATGAAGGGTGCTGTGTGGAAAAAAATATTTAGTCCCGACGATTCAGTTGTTCTATCTGGGTGTGAAGGAAAAATAAATATTTGGAATGCCATATCTTATACATTTGCTAATACATTTGAAATGAAGGCTATGGTTACCTCTGAGAAGGACGTTTGTTTATATATTTTTTTCTTAAGCAGCTGCCCTTTTTCCATTGGAATTTGGAAATTTGCTTATCATATTTAATTTATATGGAGAGTTCTACATTCCAAAGATAGACACGGGCAATATCTTCTTGGATATGACTTTGCAGAAACCTGTTTATCACACAGCGAGTGGCTTTACCAATTATGTTTTTACATGTGATGGGATTTTGCGTGGGTCGGGTGGGAGTTGGGCAGGTGACAGAAGCAACTAACCAAGAATAATGCCACTCCCATTTTCATTATGTTTTCAGAGAAGCCATAAAGACGTAACCTCAGTAAAAGCGGTGATCATGCCTTTTTATCAGAAGTGATTCCGCATTCTTGGTTTTCCCCGTGTTTTTCTATTATTTTCTTCAACATCCACGCAACAGAAGGAAAAAAAAAAAAAAAAAAGGAAAAAAAAGGAAATAGGAGGCTGGAACAAGAGAGGGTGAGGTACATTTGTAACACGGAGAGTTCAAAGTCAAAAACGATGTTTCGTGGTTATGCCAGATTAGCCTCAAAATGTGCACGGAACGTATCTCCACCTTCACGCACAATTCAGCCGGTAAATTTCAATGATGACACTGTCTTTAGGAAGAAATCTTTTTGGTGGTTAGTGCGGGCCTTAGTGGTGCTTCGCATATGCCAAATTTCATTTTTTTCCAGGAACGCGGTGTATTTGATGAAGAAATCAGAGTCTGTTTTGGGTCCTTTTCTTATCTACAACATTATCGTGAAGATGACGGCATATGGCCATTTTTGTGCCGGAGAGGATGAGCGTGGGCTGAAGAGTACGGTGAAAGCCCTTGAAAGGCAGGGAATTGGCTCTGTCCTTGATTATGCTGCCGAGGCAGACGTCGCGGGATTTGCCCCGCCACCCGGCTTGGAAGAGGCCCCAAACCTATCCATGGCTTCTCTCGTTCACAAAACAACGGTGAATTATTCTTCTCATGAGGAGCTGTACGATGAGAATATGAAGCTGTATGTTATGTGCGTTATGCATGCTTCGCTCAATCAGCCCGTAAATGGGGTAGGCCTGGCGGCTGTGAAAGTTACGGGCATGTGTGATCCGCAGCTACTCGCCCGCGTTTCGGCTATACTTCACTCGGTGCACGCCGGTTGGGTGCAAAATTTTACTAATGAAAAACCTCCTCCTATCGAGGAATGCCGTGTCGTGATGGGGACTAACAAAGAGTATCAGTTATACATTACTTATGATCAATTACGTAAAGGACTTACGGCTTATGGTTCAGCACGCAAATACACGGAAGAAGAGGCGGAGGCTGTCATTAAGGCACTTGATGAGAAAAATGAAGGCAAAGTGAACTATTATCAGTTCAAGAAGGTGGTTTCAGAAGCGGTTCTTTCCATGGAGCCCACACCGGTCCAAAAGCTTATCGTTGAGAAGCTTCCAAAACTCACGGAAGAAGAGCGCGAGCTTTGGCGGGCATTGCATAGGCGTTTGTCTGTTATTGTACGAACGGCTAAGGATTTACGGGTGCGTGTTCTGTTTGATGCCGAACAAACATTCTATCAAGTTGCCATTGATAATATTGTCCCTGCAGTTTCAGCGTCAGTTCAACCTTGAGGAACCAACTGTTTACAATACGTATCAGTGTTATTTGACATACACGGAGGATCGTGTGTTTAACGATTTGACGCGGTCTGAGCTTGAGGGATGGGTTTGGGGTGGAAAGGTTGTGCGTGGAGCGTATATGGTACAAGAGAGAGAAACGGCATCTAAATACAGCTACAAGAGTCCTGTGTGGCCGACATATGAGGAAACCAGCGCATGTTACCAGGCGTGTGCAAGGCGTATTTTGAGGGAATTTACTCGGTTGCCCAATACACCCTTTGAAGTGTTGTTTGGTACGCATAACAAAGAATCTTTAGAGGAAATATCTGAAGCTATTCTCAAGCTCCCTCCCGTAAAGGGTCTAGCAGTGTTTGCACAGCTGTACGGTATGGCAGACCATTTAACGATTCCCTTGCAAAAAGCGGGATTTCGCGTATTCAAGTATCTTCCTTATGGCCCTGTGAAGGAGACTATTCATTACTTGGGCCGGCGGGCCACGGAGAACGCCTCTGTTCTCGTGAATGGGGGCTCAGAAGAGGTTGAATTGATGAGGAAGGAACTGCGCCGTCGTTTGTTTTGTTTTAAGAGGTACCGGGAAAAAGGTGTAAGGGCTTAGTCCCAATTTTGTATTTTCCTTTTTTTTTCTTTCTTTCTTTCTTTTTTTTCTGGTTAGTTTGATTTCTCTGACCGCGTCCACAATAAGCACTTTCACTTTTGAGGGGATATTCGTGCACGTAGCCGATTATATCGAGTTAGCTTCTAGCTTCACTTTGTGATGTCGCCACTGTCTCATATATATATATATAAAAAAAACAACAACACAAAAACAACAACAACAAAACGGAGAGATCTGAGGTGACTTGTCAATTCACCGGGCAACAGCTGCTGCATATCCAAGACCCGTCTGTTGCCAGGGATTGCGCAATGTGAATGCATTTCTTTTTTTTCTTTTTTTTTTTTTTTTCTTTTTTGTGTGTGTGTAACACGAGGAAAAATGGAAGGAATGTAAAGACAATAAAAGACGAACTCAACCCACTTATTATTATTATTTGTTCCGTGTGAATCTTGCGGATAATTTCAAATTGTTTTTTTTTTTTTTTTTTTTTATTTGGGGGGAGGGAAGAGGGGGCTGGACGCGGTGTTGGCTGATGTTATTGCTACTTGCACGCTTTGAAACAGCGGGTCTGTGCTACATGTTTTATTTAATTTTTATTTTTGATTTTGTATTCTTCCCCTTTTCAAATTTTTTTTTTTCTTCGTTCTTTTTTTTTTTGGTTTTATTTCTTCCAAATGCTCGAACCCCAATGAGCATTACAAAAGTACCTTACAATGAATAAGGGTCTTTCTAAGCGTGTTTTGTCCCCGCTAAAGAGGACAGCCTCAGGCTCACTTAGTTCAATAGAGTCACTGCCGCCAAAAACCGAGGCTCCGGAAAAACTGCGGACCTACAAGGATTTTATCAACCGAACCATATTTACGATTGCCATGGCGTACGTATTTCTTGTACTCATTTCATTGGGTGTGGAGGTGGTTATTCCGCTTGTCATTGCCATTGAGTGCACAATGTTTTACGAGATTACTAGAATAAACCAGCGTGCACGGAAGGATAGGCAACTTGTATCAATGTTTGTCTTGAAGCTTTGGTTTCTGGGATCGACCATATTTTTAGTGACGAGTCATAGCATTCGTGAACCACTGGTCGCGACATTCCCATGGCTTTTGAGGTATTACGCCAATTTTGGCATGTTTGCGTTTGGCTTGCCTATGATTGGTATTGTAGGATTCGTACTAAGTCTGCGAAAAGGCATGTATCGCTATCAGTTCATACAATTTACATGGATTGTAATGACTCTATTGTTTACCGTTATACAAGGTGGGATTCAAATTAAAAACATGATGCGAGGTATGATTTGGTTTTTGCTTCCTGTAAGCTGCGTCGTGAACAATGACATTTGGGCCTACGCATTCGGTAAAATGTTTGGGAGAACGAGGCTTTTGGCTTTGTCACCCAAAAAGACATTGGAAGGGTTTTTGGGCGCCTTTCTCTTTACAATGGCATGGTCGTTTTGGTTTGCCGGGTTTCTTGGTTATTTTCCGGAGCTCTATTGCCCAAAGGTAGATTTTCATTCGTCAATGCATTGCGAAAAGGATCCGTTGTTTGTCCAGAGGGCAATTGTGTTGCCGTCTTTTATTCAAAAACTAACGGGAAACTATTTAACGACTATTCAATGCTCCAAGGCTCAGCAACATGCCCTTGTGCTTGCGGCGTTCGCGTCCTTGTTGGCCCCATTTGGCGGGTTTTTTGCCAGTGGTTTAAAGCGGGCGTTCAAACTGAAGGATTTCGGTGACCTCATCCCCGGTCATGGTGGCATTACAGATCGCATGGACTGCCAGGGGATGATGGGGGTTTTCACCTACGTTTATTTAATGAGCTATGTGTATTCCGACGCAAAGTGTCCTTCTTTGCATGATTTGAGCAGTTGCGCCTTGCGATTGAGTGATGAAGGGAAAATTAGGCTTATGCGACTGCTGAATGAATCTCTATCAAAGGGTTTCTAAGGCCATTGAGGAAGATATTATTCCAATCATCAAAGGATTATTCTGTATTTGCTTCTGTTTACTTTAAAGGGACATATATATATATATATATTGAGGTTGGTGGGTGTTTTGTTGTTTATGGTGAGATTTACAGGATGAAACTCTTATTTCCACCATTATTTCTTTTTTATATAAAGCTAATATGTACATTTATATATGCTTCCGTTTGTTTGCTGTTGTGTTTATTTATTTATTGCTTTGTTTGAAAGGTCGTCTAGTAGTCATGACGGAGGTTGCAGCAACCAAAAAGGAAAAGAAGGCCCCACAGGAGGAGGTTGTTGTGCAGCAGACGGACCAGGCACAGGTTGGTCTCATCATCAAGGTGCTTGGCCGCACTGGCTCGCGTGGCAATGTGACGCAGGTTCGTGTCCGTCTCATGGCAGAGGAGGGCTCACCGGATGCAAACCGCACCATTGTGCGTAACGTGAAGGGACCGTGCAAGGAGGGCGACATGCTTTCGCTCATGGAGACAGAGCGCGAGGCCCGTCGTCTGCGTTAAGATTTTTTTTGTTTGGACGCCGGTTTTTTATTTTATTTTTGTTTCTTCTTTTGTCATTTCCTGATGCTGATTTTGTTGACGTTTTGTTTTGTTGTTCGTTTTTTTTTTTTCTGGGAGATTTGTGAGTCTTTTTTTTTTTTTGGATGACTGATATATTGGCCTCTTTTTGATGCTTGCTTCTTTTTCTCCCCTTTTATTTCTTTGTTACTGCTGTGTCATTAGCTCTTTAGTCATGACGGAGGTTGCAGCAACCAAAAAGGAAAAGAAGGCCCCACAGGAGGAGGTTGTTGTGCAGCAGACGGACCAGGCACAGGTTGGTCTCATCATCAAGGTGCTTGGCCGCACTGGCTCGCGTGGCAATGTGACGCAGGTTCGTGTCCGTCTCATGGCAGAGGAGGGCTCACCGGATGCAAACCGCACCATTGTGCGTAACGTGAAGGGACCGTGCAAGGAGGGCGACATGCTTTCGCTCATGGAGACAGAGCGCGAGGCCCGTCGTCTGCGTTAAGAAAAAAAAATAAGAGCAATTATTTGCGTTTTTTTGAAATTAAATTTTTTTTTTTGTTGCAACTAATTGTCATGTTTTTTTTTTCTTTAAAAAAAGTGTTCCGAATATCTTATTTTTTTTTGCGTGTGTTCCTACGCCTTGTGGTGTGTGAATATCATTTTATTTTTTTCTTTTTCTTTTTCTTTTTGCGCTTTGCTCTTTCCTACTTTTTAGGGTGAATGAATATAACACTGGAGAGCCTCGCCCAGGCCCTCACTGTCCTGCAACAGGCGACTGCAGCGGACTTGTCAGGGGAGACTGAGACAGCTGTTGAGATGTACGTCGCAGCAAAGAACGAATTGGACGCTGTGGCTCCGTACCTCCCCCGCGGACACGCCGATGTGGTTCGAGGCCATGCGGAGGAGGTTAAGCGCAGAATAGACGGGATCAACTGCAATCGATGGGCGAAAGAGGGCAAAAGTGAGTTTCCCACATTCCCTCTGGAGTATGTGCCAAAGCCTGTACCTGTCGAGGAGTTTAGGGTGCCTCTCAATCCCACCTTTCGGGTATTGTGGCTGATGCGTCTTTTGGAACGCTCAATAAGGCAAGGTGCCTTCGTGGCACCTGATCTGTATGTAGGGAAGGAGGTGTGGTACCAGAACGGGGGAGGCGCCGCCCTCACACACACGGGCCCGAAGATACGTTACCTGACCGCCCTCTGCGGGGCGATGGAGAAGTTGCGGGCGGTGGCGAACCTGAACAATACCGAAACCGTCACAAAAAGCCTTCGAAAATATTTAAGGACAGCGGAAGAGCTTACAACGGCGTTAGAGATGGAGATTGGAATTCGCACAGACGGAGGGGCGTCGCCACGTTCAAGGATTGAACGGGGTATGCGAGGTTTATTCCACAAGGGACAGCAAGTGCTTCGAACATGGATGAATCAGGAACCAAATATGGAGTTGTGTCTCATTTGGGCCGTCAACACACTCGGGCAGGCACAGCTGTTCGAAAGGTGGATTATATACTACTCTCAAGTGCATATGTCACCGGCCGTGACAGAAATTATGGGTTTCTTGCACCGTGCGGTGGGGCTTCTGTACAGTGGTCCCTGTAGTTTTTTGCTGCGGGATATGGCGATTCTGATAGAGCGGCACCAAGAGAAGTGCCGTAAAAGCATTACTCGTCTTCTTCCAGTAGATGTCAAGTTGGAGGGCGGCACGTTCAGTTAAACATCAACAAACACAGAGAAAGTGAGAGAGAGAGAGGAAAGAAAAGCTTCTTTTTTTTTTTTTTCAGTCTTCTTTAGCTGTCTCTGTGCTCGATTATCCGTCACGAATCCCGGTGAATGCCATGTGAATAACATTTTTATTGCTCGTACTGTTCATACGAATGGCTTGTTTTTTTGCTTTTTTTTTTTTTTTTGTGTGTGTGTGTGTGTGTGCGTTTGCATATGGGGTGGGATGTGGGGGAAATGGATAACTTTTCTTCCCTTTATCCAGCTGTGTTTTCCATTTCCATTGTACCCAACCCCCTAACCCCCCTACTTCCTACTTCCTCTTCTTTTTTTTTTTTAATTTCTTAATTTTTACTTTTAAATTAAGATGCAAAAACAGCAGCTTACTTTGGATGCCGCATACAAGTTGACACTCTGGTACTCGCTATTTTGTGAGGCTCAAAGCAGACAAGAGAGAACGACAGAGTGCCGCAGTCATGATACACGTGTAAGACACATCGCTTTTTCGCTCCTCAAGGCGTCTCTTCCACGCAAGTCGCTGAAGAGCTGTTGTTTGTCCGGTGCATGTGGCAGGGACTCTTTAACGCACAAAAGAGTACATTTTGGAAGACCCGAAATTTGTCCCGCGTCTGGTGGGCGCGATGATGTGTGCCAGTGCCTTGCCCATGCAACAGCGTGTGTCGGATGCCCGGTTCGCCTTATGGTGAGGGACTACAGTTCCTCGGCCTCGCTTACAGGGGATCGTTATGGCGGGCTACGCTGCATGCTGCGTCACATGACGCTTCAGAGTGTAACGTTTTCTGGTACATCGGACCCACACGACGCACAGCGTGTGGTAGAGGAGCTCAGTCAAACGCTGATGTCTCACACAGGGACGTTGGGGCGTCTCAGTTTGGGAGGTATTCCGGCACACGTCGTGATCTCCCCACTGTTGCGCGCCATGACGATGGTGGATAGCTTAACGGAATTACGACTTGAGGATTGTGGAATACAAGACGTTGATGATATTGTCTCCTACTTAAATATGGCAAAGCATTTACGCCGAATTTCCCTGCGTGGCAACAGTGGGATAAGTGAGGGAATGGCAAAACTGGGCGGCGCAGTGGCAACATGCCGTTCGTTGCTCTCCGTTGATATGGGACTCTGTCGCTTGCGAGATGACCATCTTTATCACTTTCTCAATAACCTTCATGGCTTTTTGGGACGTGCATCCTTTACTTTTGACGTATCCAACAATTTCTTGAGCAACCTTTCATTTGAACACCTTCGAGACGCCCCCGCGGCGTTTCGGGCAACCGTAAGCGAGTTGGATCTCAGCGGTCACAATTTGGAGAAATGCGGGGTTGTCGCATCTGCTATGCTTTTGAGGCTTACCGCCCTGCGTGGTATTTTGCTGGATCAGTGTGAACTTGGGTCGCGTGATTTGCAGCGGCTGTGCAGAGTACTCAGTCAAAAGGAACGACGCTGGAACCTTTTGTCTTTTCGGGGCAATGCTTTGACCACTCACGACATCAAGCGTCTGGCGCTTGTTTCACTTGCTGCCGGGTCTTCGCTTTGTGTGGCGGGAAACAGTATTGGTACGGGCGTCCAGAAGCTAAACTTGACGATAGTGCTGCCTTTTTTATGTGAACTGGACCTCTCTATATGTGACATCCGGGATGAGGGTTTGCTGCAACTGGCGAACGCCCTTGAAAAAGTAGGGCCCTTTTCTCTGCGTGTGTTGCGGTTAGACGGGAACGACATTGGCGTGGAGGGAAAGAAGGGGTGTAGCGGGTTGCAGTTTCTTGGAAGGGCTCTGCGGGCGAGTTATGCTCCACGCCTTGAGGTGCTTTCCCTTGCACACAATAGGCTGTTGCTGCGGCCTCTCTTGACACTGGTGGAGCAGGTATCCTCCACTTTGAGGGAGCTTCACATCTCTTACTCTGCCATCGCAAACGACTACGGTGAGGTGATGAGTCTTGTTAAGGAAATCATTCAGCGTCAAAAAGGGGGTCTTGGGTTCGAGCAGCTTGATTTGTGGGCGATGCGTGCAGCCGATGCGGATGCTTTTTGCAGTGGGGAGCTGGAGACGTGGCTTGAGGGTCAGCGGGCTGTTCGGGTCATCACGGGGACGAAGTGAGACTCTTTTTTTTTTTTTTTTTCCTTCTTACTTGGCGGTTTTCCACAAATTCATTTCTTTCCATCTTTGCTGTCTCTGTTTTCTTGTTTTTGACGGGTCCTTTTGTTTGCTGGTGATGCGCACGGATGATTTTTTTTTTTCTTGTTTTTTTAAAAAAAATTCTCCCGATTTATTTAGTTGTGCTGAGGTGCGTGGGCAAAGTGGTGGGAAAACGTCATGGAAACGAGTGGTGTACAGCGTGTGCCGGCCGTGTTGTTGCTGCGGGAGGAGCTGAGACTTATGGATGAAGTCATCAGGGGCGGTGGGCGTCGCCGCGTGTACCGGCACCACTTGTTTTTCCGCGCCCTCCTCGCACTGCGCATGGCGCTTGAAAAAATGCTGCCGCACTTCGCCCAACGCCGTGCCACACCGCCCCAATGGGCGATCACAAGACTTCTTGCGCTTGCGGTTCGATGCGGGGAGGCGGCGGCAGTGGAGTTGAGTGTGTCTCGCATTGACACCCTTTCCCTTGCGGCGCTTTCACTGGCGATATCGTCACGGATTGGATGTCTTCTCGGGGCTCTCTCTTCGCGTGAGCAGGACGTGTTCTCGGGCTTGGCCCCTGCCGATGAAGGCAGCAGCAGCAGCAACAACAACAAAAAGAAGAAAGATAAGAAGAGGGAAGGCGTGAATTTTCTTGTCACAAGAAAACGAGGCCGGCAGAAGCGCTCACGATCGCCGGAGGGCGTCATGTCGCTGCAACGGCCAACAATTGGTTGTGTCATCGAGGCGGTTCTTCATTGAGTCGCACGCATGCGTCGAGAAGTACGTCTCTCTCTCTCTCTCTCTCTCTATCCGTCTATATATATATATATATATAAATGTATACATAGACATGGATAATATGTACATATATCTGCGCTGTTGCGAAAGGACGAGGGTGCCATGATACCCGAGCCGAGTCCCTTTGTTGGGGGTTCATCCACCTCCTTCTTTTTTTCTTTTTTCTTTTTTGTGTGTCCTTTTTTTCTATTTCAGGAGATCTCTGAACGGTTGATGTCGTCTATAGGCGGCTTCCGGCGCCGTGCCCCCAAGACACTCAAGACACGCCACGCGCTAAAAAAGTATGAACCCAAAGTTGTTGAGAACCCCAAAAAAATACTATTCCTCCGCGGCTCACGGACGAGTAGTGTGGTGAATGATGCCATGACGGACCTTGCCGCCATCACGAAGCCGTATAATAAGAAACTGAAAAAGCGGAACGGTTTTCATCCCTTTGAAGGTCGTGAGCATCTTGAGTTTCTTGGCTTTAAGAACGACTGCTCTCTCTTCTGCTTCACAAGCGACAACAAGAAGCGGCCGCACAACCTTGTGCTGGGCAGACAGTTCGACTTTCACATTCTAGACATGGTGGAGCTCGGCATCGTAGCGGCTGATCGTCTGGACTTGGAGCGGGTGAAGGGCATGGATGTGGCGTCGCTTGGCGGGAAACCTTTTTTTGTCTTTGAGGGAAGCGAGTTTGCTGCGGACCCGGCGTTCATTCGCCTCAAGAGCCTAATAATTGACTTCTTCCGCGGGGGAACCGAGACGGAGGTCAACCTTGACGGATGTGATCGCGTCTTGGCCTTCTCGCTCAGGTCAGAAAATGGCCGGGATGCGTGCGTGGCGCCGTCAACGGAGTGTTACGGCAGCGGGCCGCAGCAGGAACGAGGAAACACGGTTCTTTGCATGCGGCACTACGCCCTGCAGAAACCCAGCACTGCTGCCGGCATGCCTAAAACTTTGAGCAGCAACATCCAGCTTGTAGACATTGGCCCTAACTTTGACTTTTCCATTCGCCGCGCAGCCTTTGCGACGCCGGCCGAATTTAAGGTGGCAACACGAGTACCGAAGGAAGTATTGGCGACATTGCGTTCCACAGCGGAGAATGTCAGCAGCGACGCCATGGGGAACCTCCGCGGCCAGCTGCACGTTGGTAAGCAGGACGTGGATCAGCTGAACCTCCGCCGCTTCAAGGCACACCGAAAGAGAGGACGCCATGGAGACGGAGAGGATGGCGATGGTGGCGAAAAGGACGAAGAGGCGCCACAAAAACGCCGTCGCCGTCGTCACGGAGGAGGGGATGACGCCGATGACGACGCACGACCGGAGACGGATATATAAATTTCGATTAAACAAAGAAGAAGAAGAAGAAGAAGAAGAAGAAGAAGAAAAAAAAAAGAGGGAAGAGCAATAACAATAATGAAGGAATAGTGAAGAGGAGTTTGGCGAGGAAAAGAATGCAATGGGGAAAATGAGAGAAAAAGAAAAAGAAGAATGGAAGAAAACCAACGGACAGCCGCCGCCGCCGTAAGAGAATAGGGAGGGACAAGAAGTGAGTTTGAATTGTGGGAGGATGTCGTTTTTATCGTCCGGGAAACTCTTTCCTTTGATGTGCAATTGGAAGCAAAAAGAGAGAGAGAGAGAGTGCGAGAGTGAGATGTAAACACAAAGGTGGCTGTTTGACAGGCGAATTTGTGTTTACATCTTTTTTTAGCCTCTTTCTTTTTTTCTCTCTCTCTCTCCCTCTCTTTTTTTTTTTTTTTTTTTCGTTTTGGTTACACTGCTCAAGTGCACACTTATGTGTATGCATTTCATGCGTCGATGTTGTTCTTTTGAGGCGGGAAGAGCGGGAGAGGCATTTGTTTGTTGTGTTTGTGTACCTTTTACTTTGGGACTGCGCCTAATGACATCTTCATGTCTCCTCACAGGAAGAAAGGTGAAAAACCAAAATAAAGAGGAACAAGCACAGCCGCAGTAACATAACGCAGGGAGTGAATTCACACATTCATCGAAACATATATACATACATACATATATATATATAAACAAACATAAGAATATTTATTTATTTTAGAAGCATTGACGTTTCAATGCCACCTCGTTTTTTCTCTGCTTTTCTTTTTGGAGGTGCGATGAATTTGTTTATAGGTGGCTCTGTGCATGCTGCGGGGGCGTACACGAGCCCGTATCCGCAGAATGCTCGTAACTCTGTTGTCTATCTTGACACAGCTGTTCAAGAGGGCTACACATGGTTTGGATCGGCGTCCATGAAACCGATAGGAAGAGTGGAAGTGGAGCTATTTGACGATACAGTTCCCATTACAGCACGTAACTTTCGTGAGCTTTGTCGTGGGTACCAAAACAAAACGCCTGAGGGAAAACCTTTGCACTACAAGGGCTCTGTTTTCCATCGCATTATTCCCGGCTTTATGATTCAAGGTGGGGATATCACAAAAGGCAACGGGACGGGCGGCTGCTCCATCTATGGCGTCCGCTTCAAAGACGAGTCCTTTGACTCAAAGGCCGGTGCACATAAAGGGCCAGGGATACTCTCCATGGCAAATGCCGGGCGTAACACAAACGGGTCACAGTTTTTTATCTGCACCGTATCCTGTCCGTGGTTGGACGGCAAACACGTTGTCTTTGGACAGGTGCTAAGGGGGTTTGACCACGTCAAGGCTATTGAAGAGGTTGGGACACCACACGGCAAGCCAAGCAAGACGGTTTTGGTTTCTGACTGTGGTGTTCTAAAGGAGGCATCTTAGTTGGATGTTTACCTTCTTTTTTTTTGGTTTTTTATTGCGCAATGGGTGAGGAACACACACACACACACAAAGGATACGTTTGATTCGACACCCAACTGACTGGCGGGAAAGCACAAAAGGAGGGGCTTGACGGAGGCATTTGTAACAACAGAACATTCATAACACACGGTAGCGAATGAATGGAGAGGGGAGGAGGGAGGGAGGGGCTATCGTCGTCTTTGGTGTCGGGCTCAGTGAATGCATGGAAAATGCTTTCTCCTTTTGCATCCGTGGTTTCCCAGTGAAGTCTGACGCTGATTTATTTTACATCGACGGTGGGGTGCAGGCAAGAGAGAGGAGAAAAGGCTTCATTTTTTTTCTTCTTCTTCTTCTTTTATTCCTTTTTTTGACTCTCTTTTTTTGGAAATAAGTAGAGGTGCGAAGATGGTAGTAAAGAAAAGGCCGTTTTTTGCGGATCTTCTGGGAAAGAAGTTGGCGTATGAGGTTGGTGTCGCCGCACGAAATGAAAGAGAGTAAAAACAGCTGGATGCTTGCTGACACGTCGGTGGGTGTGCCACGGCCACCGATGAGTTCTCAGGGAGAGGGACAGGAGGGAGTGAGACGGAGACTGTGCACATCGACTGCGGCGTGTGGTGCCACAAGATGCGATTGCCATTGTGAAGGATGTGCAACGGCCGCAATGCGTGCAGCAGAGCGTCACCTGCATCTTTGTGCCTGCCGAGCTTGCAGGTGCCGTGAGGAGGTGCAGGCGACCTCTCATCATTGGGCTGCTGAGGCCGTTTTTCCTCTCTACCCAGCGGGAGAAGCAACTCTTCTTGCAGGCGATGTGCTGTTCTGCATCGATGCTCCCAACGGGTTGTCACGCCGCCGTGTCGTTGCAGTGCAACTCTCGTGTTCCTCACTGCACACGTGGCTCCCTGTCGCTTGGCTTATTTGCAGGGCCATTGCCCGCGGTCCCCCATTGGGAGGCTGCTCACTTGTTTTTCTTAAATTTTGTGTACTGTTGAGATGTGCTGGAGAACAATGGCTGCGGGGACGCCGATGTTGTGCTTCGCTTTGAGTGGTGGCGGTGTGAACTGCTGTTTTGCTGCCTTTCTGCCGCTGTTGTCTGTTTCTCCCCTCCACGAAGGAAGTTACGACTAGACGCTAATCGCTACTGTGAAATTGTAAGGCTCTGAAAGGACCAACAGTACGCACACACACCGCCCACACACATATTTCTATGCTCTCACGTGTTGCTGCAGTGAAGGCACCCCGCACACACAACCGTCGCCGCGTGACCGGATCCAGCGGAAGGAGGAGGGAAGGGGGAGAGAGTGAGCTGCAGAGGCCCAACATGTCCCGGCATCACTTCTGCTCTGCGGTGCCGCTCCTCCTCGTTGTGGTGATGATGTGCTGCAACACTTGTGGTCCCGCAGCCGCTGAGGACAGCAATTCAGGTGATGTGCGGCTGCCGCAACGGGTCGGTGTCTTTTTGCCGCAGAAGACGTCGGTGCTGCCGAAAGAGGGGGCGGGGCCGGGCGATGTGAGGGATGCATTTGTCTCACCCTCTATTGTCAGTGCTGGAGGAGTGATTGTTGCTCTTGCTGAGGGCCGGAAGTGGCATAGTGCTCCGCAGCATCCAGCCGCCAAAACCCTTGCGATTGATATTGTTGCGGGGTACCTCAACGCTACGGAGCCGTGGTCGTCCATGGTCGCCTATATCACCTCCAGTAAGTGGAATGCACACACCGTCTTTGACAGAGAAACCCCAAAGGACGGGTTGGGCATGGCGATTCTACCCACGTCACTTTCCAAGGGCAATGAGCTGTTCCTTCTTGTGGGAAGCTCTTACTTTGTTTTTGATCCTACCACGCAGCATTGGATTGAGGGTGGAGGGGACATCCATTTGGTTAAGGGTGAGGT